GTACATTGCATGGTTAGTATGTTAGTCGTATCCATCATCAGGGCCATCCACAGGCAGCTAAACAACTGCGCGACGCGTAGCAGCAAACAACCCCCGCTGATCTTTATCAGTTTTTTTCAGAAATTGCATAACGGAAATCAAACTTCTTTGGCAAACACGAAAGTGGACCCGCCTAGGAGCTACCCGACGGCTTAATCGACTTGGTCGCCCAATCCAATCTTCTTGCATTTGCACCGACTCACTTAATGGATTAATAGTCCATGTTGTTCCATCCTCTTGGGCCCTTTGGGACTCCCTCAACAGTTTCAAAGCACCATGGTGCAACATGTGTAATTTCGGGATGATGGCGAAGCGATTCAAACCACGTCGATAGACTATGGAGACTGCTTGCGAATACTTTTGCAAAAAAAGAAACCATAACTTTGAAATCTTCAAGGCCCTGGGCCATCGAATGAAGAAGCCTTCATGGTACATAGCCGATATTGCTGTATTCATAGCTGAAGTTGCAGTCACCTGGGCAAACCAACAACATCAAATGGATAAAACCCTTGGGCTTCCCCCCAGAAAAAAAAACAAACACAAATTAAACTATTGAAACTTTTTGTGGTGGTAATCAACATCTATGTTTATTGAATAGGATCAAACACCAAAGAAACAATCCCAATCCATCCCAGTGGCAATGGTTTGAAGCAAAGGATCATCCCCAAACTTGTCAGACCATATTTTGCACAAATACTCGAGAAACAACATGTAGTGAGTACTTGCACTCCCTTTGTTCCATGACCCAATAGGGCAAGCAGTTGATTGGTACCAGTTTAAAGAGTCCCGTCCAAGTTCCTCACAGTGTGGGCTAATTCGTTTTTCTTTGCAAAAGCGTTTGTACTCTGCATTCAGGATTTCAAATTTGTCATCCATTGACCCAACCTCAAGATCCACGTTTTCCAAGATTGAGACTAGAGCGCTGGCAACATAATGCTTGGCAACACCTAGGTGAAAATTGTGCCAGAGGTCTGTCTTGAAGAATTGCCACCTGTTCTCCTCTAGCAATGGAACACCTTCCAGTATAGCAGGCATTCCATCAAATGCATCTTGTTGACCCAGCGTTCCTTCCCAAAGAGGCTTACCCGAGGTGTCTTCAAATGGGATAGCAGAGATATTCTGGGATGGATTGGACTCACGACCAGCACAGCACATCCAACAAATTCCCTCACAAGGTTTCTTTGATGCTGCTTTCTTTGGGACATTCCCAAACGTATGATTCATTCTTCCCAGCTTAGCAAGAGCTGGGAGGTCTCCCTTTGTCCCCAAATGACAGCACCGAACCTGAATCAGCCCGTCCGTACTGCTAACACCGTTCAACAATAGGTCCTCCATGTCCCTGGCATAGACACCAACCAAACTATGGAGGATCTGCGGGTCCTTCTTGAAGAACTTTCGCAGCATGCAGCTGAAAAGAAAATTTGTTGTCCAAGTATGGCCACAAAAATTGAGACCAAACCCATTTCTTTTCAAAGGTAGCTTATCCTTCGATTTCTTGAGAAATGCCCTCGTTCCACGGCCTAATGCCCCATGAGTGCTCAACAGCCAAAACGCTTGTTTTTTATGGCCCCGACCCTCGTCGGAATGACTATAGACTGGGATAACCCATTTCAGGTCTACTGTACCAGCATCCCTCATAGCGAAGATTTGGTGTTCCGGGTCTATGGCTTCATAGCGTAGCCAGAACTCTTGTAGCTTCACTTGCATACTTTGTAGATCCGCACAAGCACACAACTGTTGCGCCAAACGTCCAGAATCCAAAAGATATTTGACCCATGTGGAAAACTTGATGTATGGCCAATTCTTGAAACGCTTTGTGTCAGAGAGGTCAACCTTGTTAATCTCAACTGGGCATGATAACTCGTGCTTCACCAACACATCATGCCCCCGTTGTTCTGCATCATTGGGCCTAACCGCTGCAAACTCCCGTAAAGCCTCGCTAGCTTGAGGGTTCTCAGAAACTTCGGCTGCAGCCAGCTCAACAACATGGCACATAGGTTCCTCAGCGAACAAGCGCAGGTGTGTGGAAGAAGTTGGTGGGATGATGGAACATCCCAGGGGTCAGGGGTGGATGAGTGAAGTCAAAGTGTTGGACACCTGCCACATGTACAAAAGTTAAACCCTGCACTTTTACAAGAATACTTTTTTCCTCTTTGCGCGCGCCCCAAAATTGTCAGATTTAATTTGCGATTGCAATCAGCCGACAGCTCTAAATTGATCAGCTCTGCAACCCACCACATAAAGGTAAAACGGAGGCTTGGGAGGTGTAGCCCGATTAAGAGCCCCTTCCCCTCCTGATTCCGGTTTGTTCCGGCACCCCACATGAGAACTGAACAAAGCTATGCATGCAGCCTCCAGCATTTGAATAGTGTCAGCACTTTGAGACACTGAAATCAGCCACATCCTGTCATACCCCTTTCCAATGTAATCAGCATATCTTTTGATGGGGTTGGATGTGACTCCCAACTTAAAAACGCACACCCGGACCCCAACTGATTCCCTAAATGCCGTAATTTGTGCCCTGGCATGTGCTAAGAGTTTGCCACGTGAAGACACAGCACGGGTAGGCCGAACACAATGGTTCAAAAGACCATATGGTCGAACCAACTGCCAGTCAAAAGAAGATTCCGAATCAAATGTCTCACCCAGCTCACTTAGCAAAGCAGCAACTGCATCACCACTGTCCTCAGATACAGCCGGGGAGAGGCATGGAGAGATATCCTGAGAAAGAACAAAGTTTGGAACCCAAAACACATTCCACCCAAATCACATTGAGTCCTAACTGATTTATGGTAAAGTATTGAACTTCCATGTTGGATGGTTTGAAGTGGAAAGCAAACAACCATGGTCTTAAAGTTATTTGTGTTCAATGCTGGTTTCCATCCACATGTATATGCATATAAAGAAAAACTACTTCTCTATATATATGCACACATAAAGGCATACTGTTCCTGCATGCCATGGCGCTAGATGGTGCTTCGGCAGGGGATCAGGACTCGCAACGGTAGCACGGTCTGGTGATGGGTCCATTGATCTAGTGAAATATTCCATGTGCGGGTCCACATCATCGTCAATCAAATTGCGTTCTTCACTTGCTGCACTACACCTAAGATACCCATCAAAATCATCACCGAATCCAGTGTAGGGTTTGACACTCAAACTAAACCCCAGTTTGACCCACTGGCTGGCTTTGAAACAAGACACTTCACAGCTTTTGGACAAGGCCCTTCAGCAGGCTGCATAGATTCGGCTGGTCGCTTTGAAGATGAGGCATTGAGAAGCTCTCCGAACCAATCATCCATGTTGGCAGTGGCTGGCAAAGGTATTACTTTAGTTGATTACGATTTCATAACACATATATAATTCTTAGACAGGTCAGAGGTGAACTTATTGTTTTATTTATCAAATGAGGTAGGCGTGGAATACAACCCTTTTTATCTCAGAAACAGGTTTCAGAAAACATATGGAGACTTTGTTGCATGCTTTCTTTCATAGGTCGAATTTTATGTTGAACCAATGGCTGAAAAATCATAGAAGTAGCAGCTATGGCTTTGGCTCAATAATTCACCTTGATCAAGTTGTTGAAGTGTCACACTCTATGCAGGAGATCTTTGAGGAAGAGACGCCTCGAGCAGCAAAGTTGGCAAGATTTTCCAGGACTCGTCCGGGTCCATTGTGGCGAGCACCTGGCATGAATTCAATGGCCACTGGTTTTACATGCATTATATAATTGAAATTACATCAGCTGAGAACTGTTTCATTTTCCCACCGGTGCTCGATCTTCAGATTGTCCATGGAATCCGTATGTTGGATCCATGATCGCACGTGCGAAGCACATGATGTCCAAACCCCATTGAGTGAAAACATGATGCCATTGAGCCTCAGAATGAGGCCATCTTTCAACTAAGAAAAGTCCTTTCAAATTAAAAGGTCACTAGGATTCATAGCACAGCACACCAGCAACCATCACGGGCCACTGGGAGGCTGCCCCCCGACTCAAGCCCTCAGGATCACTCGTCATTCTTCGTCACCATCTTCAGAAGGTTCCTGAGCGAGAATGGGGCCAGCAAGGGAAGCATAAGGGATCAGGAAATCTTAGTTCTATCAACTGTTGGGGCATTGGGGTGCATTGGCCAAGGAAATTGAAATGATGTTGAAAAAACACTGGATCACTGGTTTGGGAAAACATTCAAAGTGCGGCGAAAGTCTTTGCAGTAGATTCAGCCGTGGTAACCTTTGCACACGCTTTCTGGGAGCGCTTGATCTGTTCCTCGACCAGGCCCTTCAACCTAAGTTGTATCAGCTGGATCAATGGGCCATCATTTTGTTCACATGAACCCTTATGGATACAGTATCTATATTTGATAGGATCCTTCCAAACACATAAACATATATCATATAGCAGTCAATTGAAATCCCACATCAATTTAACATCAACTGTTTGAGATATTTTGAGATGGGCTACCTCTCGATCTCGGGTTGTTTCAATTTCCCAGTCTGGAGGTCATTGACTTCGGCCTTTGTCAACTGCACCGCTTCGAACTGCTCTTCAAGGATTGCCACGGCACCTTCTATGGTCTTCTGGGACCTAAGGGCCGGATGATTTGTTTTCTCTTATTTGTAAGGCCAGTGCAACTGTGGAGGCCATCATTTCATAGTGAATAGAATAGTGGACACAGGTTGTTTCAGAGAAAGTGATTTTGAATCTAAGTCAGCCACTTGTTGACTCTGTCACGGTGTGGGCTAGACTCATCTTGTTTCATCGCTTCATCCAACTTGCCAGACAGCTCATTCAACTTATTGACTTTGGTCAGCATGGCATCACCAAACTTCTTCAAAGATTGGTATTCCTGCATGGGTGCATTCAGGAAATCCACAAAAAATATATATATTCTAAAATAGTCTTGCCGTTTTAAACCAATAGGTCAAGGAATGGGTATGACAGGGTATGATATGAACATTCACTCCTGCGCCCCATCGTTGGCTTCGTCAGCAGTGTCGGGTTCCGACTCTTCTGGAGCCTGCTCAGGAGCCTGCTTACCCTTGCGCTTCTTTGGGTCCAAGGCCTGGAACTTGACCTTTTTTTGGATCTCCTGTCAGATTCAGATGGTTCAGCACTAAGTCATTGAAAGGTACCATACACTAACATGTACAAAGTCTTTCGTATTCCATCTTCGTCCAAATGTGTTTCAATCTACTGCCCAACAGAAGTTTGCAAGTGCATGTGCATGCATGCAGCCCAATACACACAACAGTGGAATAAGATAGAGTCATACAATTTCATTTTAGCAATAGGTCCAGTTGCCTTTTCACAGCTATACCATTCAGATTAAACTTTGACTCTTTTAATCAATGGGTGAATGGAAGGAACCACCATTCCCAGATGTCCCCAGTCCTTGCTGGAAGTCTTGATCTCTCGCTCCATGTCCTCGTCCAAGTCCGAGTCGCCCTCCTCCACGTCAACGTGGTACTTGTTGATCTTCCGGTTGTACTTGTCCTTCCTGACCCCGTGTATTCAGAGTAAAGGCTATTAAAGGGTCATGAATAATGAGCATGGGAAACTCCTTGGAATTCAGGTTATATATGTACATGTCAGGCATACCTTATTTGGTCAACCGCCTGGTTTTCACAGCACTTCTCATGCTTTGTGTATTTGAGATTGGGGATGTCAGAGTTTGCATTCTATGCCAAGACTCCGGACCAGAGACTCATTCCCTTTTTTTCCGCAGAACTTCACCACGTCTTTGATGTATTGCCTCAGTGATGAAAATAAATTCCATTTCAGTTTAAGCATGCAGGGCTAGCCTTATAGGAGTATAGGAGGGCAAAATCAACCAGCAGGTTTAACTTGTGACAGCCACATTCCCTTCAATAGCTTCAACTCAGCAATTTCAAAGACCATTGAAGTCAACTTTGATTCAAAAGTGGAAGCATGATCCTTTCTAGTGATCATTATATTGCAATCTTTTTAAAGAAACCAGGGTACTTTGACCAACCCAGCGTTGTCCTCATCATCTCCTCCGTGAGCCAACGTCTCTTCTTCGTTCGGGTGCTCTTGTTCAGCCTTTCACTTTGCCGCACCAGACGTGTCAGGAATGCATCCTGCCAAATTTCAGCGAGCAGCTAGATTGGAGAAAGAAGCGTGGGCCCTAGACATCTTCAGGGTTCTTCAGGTATGCATATTCTTCAAAAGTATTCAAACGTATGATCAGTTTCTAGGGGATATCAGAGTCATTACAATACATTAATTATTGTCCATACCATTCAAGAACTGATCTTGGAAATCAAATGCAAGACAGAAGAATCCAATACTGTTATCAAAATAACAAGTACACCTTTAGAGCATTGCATGGAAGATTGAACCAGTCCTTGTTCCATCCACTGTTTTCCAATTCATCTCGTAGCTTCATCCTCTCAACACCCCCTTTTGCCCATCTTTCATGTACATCATTCGGCACATGGCACCTTCCTGACGGCTTTTTTTCACACAAGCGCCTCAACCGGTTGTTTTTGGCAGCTTCAGTGGGTTCCTTGTCTGACCCCTCGCAACCCTTGTCACCATCTTCCGACTCCCCCGAGGCATCAGCATCGGAAGAACCTTCCGAGGCTGTCACTGGGGAGGGAGCACGCCTTTTGGGATTTGAGGGTGTCTTCATTGGTGTCTTCACTGAAGCCCGGGATGAATCAGATCCCTTGGTGGCAGCATCCAACTTCTTCTGCATAGCTGCGAGCTGGGACATGAGATCTTTGTTGACCTGCAAGCACATACCATATTCTTAAAATATAAATGGTCATGGCCCAGTGTTTGGCTAACAGATATCTTGCTCCTTACTGTATCATGTGGTTTGCATGAGGCTTTAAAAACACAAATGGTTGAATCAACTGTACTGTCATCAAAACAGGTAATATCAGGTAATGCCAATGATAATTGGGACTAGGCTTTAATGCCTAGTAGGAGTAGGACTGGTACAAATCCCACGAAGTTGCTTTGGGCCCCAATGATTCAACCCACTCCATCATACAATGACCGGTGTTTAATGAATTTTCCCTAGGCATGTACATGTGGCCATGGTAAACCTATATGCCGGGTTAATTGTAAACCGTTTTGAATCCTAGCAGGGAATGTTTCCCAACCATGAACTTTAGAACTACACAGGGTCCAAAACCGAAGTTTTAAATTGAAGGCAGCCCTCTATGGCAAAAGAAACCGGGTTGAGTTCCCAAGACATACCTTTTCCACCGGAACCCACTCCCAAAAGCAGTGTTTGAAGGGGACAGGCACCAGAATTGTTGTTGGGTTCCTGCATAATGTTTTTTTTAATGTACTAAGCATCAAATTATCAACCCTACAATTACACAGTAGTGTTCAGAATATCTGTATTTCCCCGACAAAAGGAGTTGTTTTACCACAAGATAGTTGCTATTTAGGCCACAACCCAACCATAGAGCTCCACCACCAACAGCCTTGGCAAGATCATCTGTAGGTGTCGATGCATCCAAAGGAGAAGACTTGGAACGGTGGCGCTTGGAAGGCTGGGAAGGACCGGCCGGGGCCGATGACGGTGCTGGAACAGTCTTCTTAGCAACAGCGGCCACATGGGTTTGACTCTTGCTCTTAGATGCAACATCACGGTCCTTTGAACGTGCATCATTCTTCGGGGGATTGGTCTTCTTGAGATTCTTTGGGTCCATCGCAGATTTCTTTCTGGCAGCTGCCAACTCCGCTTCAGTTGCCTTATTGGCTAATGGTTTGAGAAATCACTCAGGAAGGGGCGAAACAAAAATGCAAGTTTCTAACACCACTCGATTTGATTAAAATATTTATCACACATGTTGTTCACTGGCCACATACCTTTGTGGAACATTTACCCCACAACATCTTCGGAGTACTAGCTGATGCCAATCTTTGTTCATACCAAGCTGCTGGTTGGGTTTCTTCATCAACTTCACCCTGGTGACACATGTGGCTGACAGGTTTCATATAATTGGGGCACATCCCAAGAAAACAACGGTTGCATATCAAATTTACACCTGGCCTCAGCATCCCCATCTTCAGCATTCTGTTGCTTCAGTGAGGCAATTGCCTTTTCATATTCCTACCATGGAACATGGGGAAATCAAATCGGGATTGGATACCAACCATTGGAAATAATAACATATTGTAACCAGAAACTGACACAAGACGGAACAAAGTGTCCTTGACTTTCTTCTGAAGTTCTTCTGGGTCCATGTGCTCTCTTTTGACTTTCATGAGACCACGGTGACCATTCTGAAGCTCAGAACAACTATGTCTCTTTGATGGTAGCTTGCGAGGGGGAGCAGACTTCTCCCTAGACCCCATGGCAGGCCGATGCAACAGCCTTCAACAGCTCACCCAAGGCTGTTCTGCGATTGGATCTCAAAGGGCTGTGGAACAAATCCCACTACAAGATGGTAAAAGAAATGTTCTTATGAAGAAATATGTTGTAACCACCAAACACCAACTTATTTGAAAATGGTTATGCTCAATTTCTACCAAAACATCACAATGTTTGGCAAAAATGTCAATGTTGGGGTATATACAATGTACGGGAAATGTACGTAAAAAGTACGGGTTTTCATACGGAAAAATCCGTCCTTTTAGCGCATATTTCCGGCTTTTGTACGGTGTACGGGTTTGTACGGGGTACTGTACGTATTTAGTACGTACAGAGTACGTAATCTGTCAATATCATAATTTCAGTATGGTTTTGTAATTGTTGAATGAGACATGTGTTAGGATAACTACTGACAAACCCTTGAAATACCCAATCAAAGTAAAACCATCCTACTTTCCCAGGTCCCAGGTCTACCCAGACAGAAACATTTCCTTTTCTGCAACAATTGGTCCCTGACCCTGGCTGTTTGCCAGTCATCATGCCAGGAGGCATTTGAATTATCATGAATTGTAATATGGGTCTTTGAAATCTAAGGAAGGAATGTGGCCAATGCCACATGTTTGTTGCTAGAAATTGCGTCACCTCCATATGATATGGTCACATATGGTCACAACGCTTCAGGGAAGGAATCTCGCCATTCCCCAATGTTGAGGTCACGATTTCCCCGAACATAAGCTAGGCAGGATACCATGTCAGCATCCTCCCAAACATCATCACCCCATGGCAGGCCATCAAAGAAATCCTTTGTTTCCATTTCGGCAAAAGAGGCAGGGATCTCTGGGGCCGGGGACTTGTTCTCCACAAGAAAGGGAAAAAGCTTCACCAAGCGAAGGCCAAAGTGTGGTGGATACGTCCTGGGCTCTCAACGATGGAAATTGAAATTAAGGGATGGAAATGGGGAAATCCATGTATGTTTATACAGTTGGCACTGGTGCATGCAGGCATGAAAAAATACTGGTTGGTAATTTGACCCATCATTCAACAACATATTTATTCGAAACAGTGTGGGGACCACCTGTTGCCTATCCTTTTTCATGCTTGCATTCAACATAGCTATGCCAAAACATATTGCATATCGTTGCATTCCTTTCCAAATAATGCTATGAAAACGAGAAAGAACCAAGAACCTGCCGCATAGTGATTGAAAACTAACAATTCAGCCCCCTACCCAGTAGCACGAAGGCTTGAGGTGCCCGAGTAAGATTTCTTGCCCTTCTTGTTGGTCTTCACTTTTGCACTCTTCACCCCAGTGCGACGGATTTCCTTTCGTTGATCCTTCGTTAGGGAGCCTCTATCCAAACCACCGATCTTCTTGGAATTTGACCAGCAGATATGTCGTTTAGGTGTGCATGACTTGTAATGACCCATCCACCATCGGCAGACATACACCTGCAAAGGTTTTTTGTCCCCACAAGATTCAGTTCCCAAAAGTTATGTAAGCCATCCAGTAAATTAAATATACTTTATCCGTTTTGGGGGGCTTGGATAGACAAACAATGTCTTTTGTTGACTCACCAGATCCCAGTGGGTTCAGCCCCAGACCACTAACACAAACAACAGACCTGCAATGGGTACTAGTAAATAATAGGGTTTGCTTTCCCCCAATAAAGTTGAACAGGTAATTCATGGTAATTTCATGATTATAGTTAATTCTGTTTGCACCCAGACCTTTGTGAAAGTCCGTAAGATGCGTCGTAGTCTGGGATGGTACCAAGCAAGGCTGCTGATGGGTTGCTCTACCATCCACGCAGCTCCCACCGCCTGCAAGGCCATCAAAAGGAGAGCCACCCTGAGCGAGCAGAAGCAGGCCGAAGGGAACCAGTTTTTTATGGGCCCTATACCCCCAACAATCTTGGTGGGAACAAACAGTTACGACAAATTTGGGTAAAACCCCAACTATTTACCACCCACTAAAACAGGTTAGCAGAATTACTGTATATCAAATATTATTTTCTGGTGAAACAATACAGGAAAACCTATGAACTGGGAAATCATAACGCCAAGCAAGAGTCCTGCTAGCAAGACAATTTCCCAGCCGAACATGACTGCGGGATTCATCTCCCAGTGGATTGATCAATGATCTCAGATGCGTACCAGCATTGATGGCAACGAAGCTGGAACATAATAGCCCAATGACGCAGAAGCTGTTGTCAAACTTCATGTTCAGAATGGCAGTGAGTGCCAAACTTAGATGTACAATTTGGAACAAGAGGGGTGCTTGGGCAAACAATGTTGTTGAGGCCATACCAGTGCTCCATTGGTTGGAACCGTAACATCAATGGATTGTTTTTGAAAAATTCCAGAAAACCATACCCACCAACATTGAAGCATAAACCAATGTTATGAACCAAACATCATTCCTTTCAAATGGGTCTTTTGGGGACAGAAAGGCAAGGATAACCAAGGAACCTTTTTCCCACCAACCCCGATTAGGCATTAAAAATCATATTTGCTAATTTCTTGGGGGCCATTCACCAGCACAAAACTGATTAACCGGTACTTAAATCTAAGGGGTTTCAATCCCTTGGTTGGTAAAATGGACCGACCAGGGCTGCCACATGTAGATCTTCAACTTCTGTTCATATCAGCACAAAGCACGCCAAACTAACCATAGCTAATCCCCATTGTTTAGGAACTACCCCAATCAAAAGAGACTATGAATCCAGGTGGCCAAAAGCCACTGTCCGTTGTCAAGTCCATAAAATTCTGCTTGTTTGGCATTGGGTCATGCAGTAATATATCCAACTTTGCCACCGAACGCCCTGAAGATGCCATAGTATCAGTGACCCAGCCACGTCCGGCAAACAGCTCCACGTAGCCAAAGGCCTGGCAAAGGCATACAAATGCACCCAGTTAGTATCTTCAAAACCATTAATTCCAGCGATGCATAACCCAAAGCTTCTAGATGCCATCACCCCAAGGCCTCTAGAGATTATATTTGTGGGTTTTACCAATTTCTTCAGGGCACTGATTCCTGGACCTACATGATGCAAAGAATTTCCCATATTATGATCCAAAATGACTCCATGTTGTTCATATCCATAACATAAAGTTGAAATGCAGTGGGTTGACTATCCTTGGGGTAATAGGTATTTGGTTCAAGCTTCCACTAATATACTTTTTTGATTTGCTTATTCTGACCCAGTGCGTAAGATGAAATATCTGGAACCTGTGGGGTAAGATTGAACCATTTGGTGACCTAAGCAAAGGCCCGCCCTTATACAACAATCAACTGCTCTTAAAGTCTTAAAGCTGGTTATCTTTATTGTCTAACCTAGCACAACCACAACTGTAAAAGCCTGAACAGCTGGTTTTTTATGCTAAGCCAGGGCCAGCTCTCCCACCACTAAGATGTTGCTACTTGGAGTGCGATCCTAGGTATTCCTTTTGTTATTCTTTATCCAGCTTCCAAATCCAGCCTCCTGAAAGACCTCCACATTGCTAGATAGGGAGAGGAGCACCGTCAATCCCAGCAGCACCTCCAAGTGGGGCTTAAATAGGGCTACTGGTTTCATGGGGGTGTCTTGACAAGCTGACCATGGCCCTGTACCAAAAGGCTGCTGAATGATATGGCATGGGATTTCCTTTCATGGATTGTAAGAACAGCAACAATTAATTGTATGTTCTTAATCTATATGGCACCCATGCTCATCCAAAAATGGCCCAACTAGATGGACCTTAGGAGCACCCAGACAGTGCATACTCTTCAGCACCCGATCCAGCTTGCAGGAGGCCATGTCACCGAGATGCACTTCGGCACAATGAACCACGTGGGGCCGCCAAAAGCTTGAGCAGGATGGTTGCCCATGATCATACATCAATATTTGAAATGTGGTTAATATATTATAATATATTATATATACCCATGGGTTTGACACAGAATGGTATCCCGTAATTGTCTTTGAAAAAAATCCATAGTGGGAAATAGCCCAAATGCCCAAATGCATATATATATTATACATGTATGCTGTATGCAATGAAGTGCATCCCCTCCCATGACTCATTTTGAATAGGTTTCAATAGAAGGGAAATGCTATATAGTTATAAACATCACTGGCTATTTAATTTTGCATCACTTTGGGTACCACATTTCGAGCAGCACCCAAGTAGCAAACATGCCCGTTTCACGTTTCGCTGAATGGTTTCCAAACTCCGAAAGGCACAGGCGGCGATTCCACCCCAGCCCATGGACCATGCCTTTTCACACCCGAGGTCATTGACCTGAGCAATCAAAGCGGTTCGATGAGCAGGCCAGACCCACAATTGGGAAACAATTTGGGGCAATTTATTTACCACAGAATAACCATAAGATCAACCATTTGGATTCTGATGATAATTCAATAACATAAAAAAGTCAAACAGGTTTAGTTCCATCTAATTTGAATTTGGGATCATATGCACCCCCCCGTTGGGTTTGTGCTTGCATTGGAAGAAGCCACCATTTCATGAAGTTCCCCATTCAATGTTTTTTTGATCAAAATTGAGAACCAAGGGGGATTTGGTGTTGGGAAATCCCACAAACTCTACATTTTCCAGCGCTCACCTCCAGGCATTGTGATGACACCGTAGCTAGCAAGGACCCCATACCACACTGCTGTTCCATCACCATGCACACATCCCAAAGTCCCCCAAAATGGGATAAACGTGAATGAGATAGATGTATATATGTGGTATCAAAACCAAAGACACATAAATGTCATGAACTCAGAAACCTTCCAATTTGTTTTTGGGTACAGGCACGGGTCAGAATATACCCCTCAGCAGTGTGGTCAAAGGTCGGGAAATGATAGGTAAGCTAGCCAGCACTAAGTCAAACCAAGCCTGCATGATCACTCTAGGTGGCAGGATATTAGATAAATTTGCAGATGATCCTACTTGGGCAGTGGCCAGCCTTGAAATGTGTTCTAAAGCCATTGCCACAAAATGAAACCAGCGAAGTTTGTCCCAACCGGTCAAAAATGGCATCAGCACCAAGGGGCCCAGTCCATACATGCGGAAGAAAAAATCATTGAAGTATATTAAAGTCTAGGTCCTCAGAGACGGAAAAAACCATGTTGATATGGAAATAAATTTGGAAATAACAGTTTGGTAACCAGGGCCCCTCCATGGTTGCACCACATTGCACCTTGGCTGCTGCCAACTAGTGATCCATATCCCTAGGTCCTAGGCCATCGGTTCATTTCAGAACCCCAGTCTTGCGAAGCTGCTCTACATAACCATCAGCAGCAGCAGATGCTTCCTCAAAGACGTTGGACTCATTGATGTCCTTGCTGGCCCACTCCATGGTAGCGAATGTCCAGAAGTAGTCCTGGGCGAATATGGGATACATCTTATATCATTTAATATATCACGATTTCCTTCAGGCATTCAGTTTTTTCCCTCAGAACTCATAAGTTCATTAAAGAAACAATCAATCACTCTGGCATCATAGCAAATCATTCAAGTGGTTGCCAACCAAATCAACCAGTAATAAGTTTGGGTAGTAGTGGTCAGGGACGTAGTTTATCACCGCATCGCATCATATCATTATCATCATTTCATGTCAAAAAATCATATCATATCATTATCATCATATCATTATCATCATATCATATCATTATCATAATTTCATCATATGAGCGTGGTTTGATAGTGGAATAAAAGCACATCAGCAGATGTGGGACCAGGAAATATATGAGCCTCAAAACCCAGTGCACAGTCCTCATGGGCGCTGTATGTGGTCAAGTGCGGCTTGATCCGAAGCTGGAAAGCATGGCGAAGGGCATCCCATCGGAGGGGGTCTCGGGTTGGTCTCCTGCGCTTGGCAAAGCACTTCAACTTCACCTCGTTCTTCTCAATCTTTCCGTTGTCCTTTTCCTTGTTATCTTCCTCCACCTCTTTCTTGGCCTTGTCCTTATCCTTCTTCTCGACCAGCTTTGCCTTCTTCTTGCCAGAAGCACTTGCCTTTGCCTTTGCCTTGGGAACCTTGGGGCTCTCAGTGCAACCACTGGGTTCACAGGCTTCCTCTCCAACAGGTTCAACTTCGCCCTTCCTCTTGTTGGCTCTCCTCTTTGGCAAAGCCACCCTGAGTTCATCTCCATCTTCGTGCCCATGGCCTTGATCATTGGCCTGCTCAGTCTCATCTTCCATGGGAGAAGCTTCTGCCATGGCCCCTGCCTTTGCCAAAGCTTTTGCCTTGGCCTTAGCCTTGGCAGGTGCTTTGGCCTTGGCTTTGGCCTTGGCCTTGGGAGAAGCTTTTGCCTTCCCCTTGGCCTTCGCCTTGGCTGTAGCCTTCGGCCTGCCCCGTCGAACTTCAGCAGGCTTCTGCCCATCATCACATTCGTCTCCATCGGCCGTAGCCCTCTTCAGCCCCAACTGCATGCGACGGATGACCTTTGGAGAGAATCTAAGGGACAATGAGGAAAAGTATTGGGGGAAAGTGCATGTGAAAAGGCATAGGCAATTGAAGGCATACTGCTTGGGAATGTTAAGGGCAAATGTGCATACTATTCATGCGTTTCCCCACCCTTCCTCCTTTTTACTTACCATCTCTTCCACCGTCTTAATTGGAAAGCAAAGCCACAGGTGGCTCACCATGCTCTAAGTTCGGCTCCTCTGGAATCTCAGCAGCCAAGCGGTCGGCCATCTCCTGCATGTCACTCTCAGGCATGACAAGGGTGTCCATGTTGTCATCACCCGGTGGGAGGCTTTCTTCAACCAGGATGGGCTTGGAAGTACTGAGAGATTGCAATGCTTTCCTCAGATTTGAAAGAAAACCCAAATTTCGTAGAACATAAACTTAGTGTAGGAATGTTTGGGTGTATGAGCTTTCAAAACAATTTCAATCAATCTGAACATATTAAAGAGCATTCTCATCTTATTTGAATCAGCTAGGGTCTTCGCAGATTGAAGGCGCTTCAGGTGAGACAGCTCCCGTTCTAGTTCTGCTAAATTTTGTGCATTCTTGGCTCGACTCTTCAAACTAGAGGAACTAGCAGAAATCTTGAGGTTTGCTGTGCTATGAGCCTTTCGGTAGCTGCCCCCCCCACCATTGTCCACGACCTTGGAACTGCATGAGCTGCGAAGATCTTTGCTCTTCACCGGGATCTCTTCCATGGGCAAAGGAAGTTTCTTGTCCTCTGCGATTTCCTTCTCCGTCTTCTCTTTCTCAACATTCTCTCCCAAACCCCCAGCGGCCACAGCAGCATCGGCAAGAAGATCAGGGACAAGAGATGAATCTTGACTGTTGAGGAACTCTCGGTACTGTGCCTTGTCCTTCTCATCCATGGCACTCTCCTCCTCCTCTGCAATCAAGAAATCGATGGATGCCTGGGAAGCTTCCACAATGCATCCTTCTTCTTCCGATGCATCTTGAATTGGGTCACAAGGGTCTTCAGAGGAAAGCTGGCTGAGAGTGGGCGGCGGTGATCCAGTGACAGCTTCATTGGTAGCTGGCACTGGCTCTGAGTCAGACATCTCATAAGGTGGTGTAGCACCATCATACGATCCATCATCATCATCATCTCCATCGTCACCTTCTTCTCCATCAGAGACATGAACTACCCCTGTAGCACCATCACCATCACCCAACATAGATACGCCACCAGAGTCAGCGGGACTCGAAGGCGATGCCTCCTCTTCGGCCTGCTCATTGTCATCAGCGTCCGGGTCCTGGCGTTTGGGTTCACTGGGTTGCCAACTAAGTGGCAGAATGGTGGTAGAGTTGTGCATGCTGAGTTACATCCACGGTTTATATACTGCCAATATTCACCCCAACAAAAATAGTTAAAGGTCCCATGACAGATAACCATACAGATTTATACTGCACCAGTCCTCACCAGTAAGGCAAGCCATCAAACGGCGAAAAGTGCGGGATCGGGACAATTGCCCCCGGGTACACTTGCGTTTGATCATCACACAAAATTTCTTGGCCCGCCATGCGTCCAGCTTGACTTGGCGCTTGCAGGGTTCACATGGGCCAAGCAATCGGAATAGGGCATCAATCCTAAGAGAACTGGTGATGTGAATCGGGGGGAGATAACATCATTAAATCACTAGAAAGGTTTTGTTCACTATCGTAGGCTATTAAGTTTCTAATGCGCCATTGAAATACGAATAGCAAGACACAGGAGGATTCATGTGGAATAATGGGGAAAGATCAGAGTCATGGAGTGTTATAGAACATATAAAACCATCAGCAATAGTTTGACCCTCTTAATATCACCAATATCCACAAAGAAAATGTTTATAAACATACAATTGAATCAAATCACCTAACAAGGCACTCAAGTTCCAAGGCAGGAACTGAACACATTCCAACCTCCTTGGTCTCTGGGTGTACGAGTCTGCGAAGCAATGGCATCAGAACATCATCATGATATTCAGCACCCACAATGTTGATATCCAAGTTGCGGCCCTGAACGGAGTTCATGAACAATCCATCGGTTGCCCTAACTCGTTCCCTGATGGATGCAATCTGCTCCCACTCCTCCGAGATACCTTCAACATCTCTAAAGGTAGACATGATGGCCGGCCACCGTAGGCCCCCTACAGATATGGGCTATGAACAAAAGCACTGCAGGCATGAAAGGCAAATTTGTGGAGCCAATTGGTTGCAACAATATGATTCATCAAAATTGCAAGCGCTACTTTCATCATTTTATTGTGCTAAAAAAGTTAATCCATTGGATCTCTAGCAAAGTTTGGGATCATTCAATCATGTTGGTTTTGACCTATTATATATTTGATGGGTGTCATCTTGAAAGCAAGCCCCTTCCAAATATTTCAAGCAAAGTAATTCATTGGGGAATCACTACCAGCTCAACTCCCATAGTAAAATGTGTTCGCTATAAATGTATTAAAATAGTGCCATGTTATCCCCATGGCATGTTTCCCACCATTTTGATGCAATCATCCTGGCCATCCTCGCAGCTGGATTTTCCAAGGCCCGGACCCTGTCATTGAACTTGACGCAGAGGGGGCCGAGCAAAAAGTGTTTGCTGCAGACTTGCAGCTTTCGGTGAAGACTGGTGGTGACCCAAGGGTTAGGATAATGAGTTTTTTGGGGTTTATGTGTTAGTAGGAGTTCATCTTAACATTACATATGGTTAATATCTCCTGAGTTTTTGCCCAAGTACACATGGAAATATGATGATGACACACATGTTTGAATCATTTTGAATCCACCATGTTCCCTGAAGTGTGGGTTTATGTGGGTATTCCAGAAGTACGGGAAAGTACGGCCCTTTTATAAATATCCAGGTTTTCTGAATAATAACCAGGTTTTTTGAAAAGGCATTCAGATTTAGAGGTCATCCAGGAGCCAGGTACAAATATGTGAAAATCTGTATTAAAAAAGGCACGCTGCATAGTTTGAAAAAACAAAATACAAATTGTACTAAAGACACACTATTACAATTCAACGTCCATCCCACATGGCCCCGTCACGGCCAGACAGATTGCAGCAATGCTGCTACCAATCCGTTTGGAAGCGGCGGGTCTTGCAAAGGTACCCCAGATTGCGAATGCACCTTGGTAGCCATTCAAATTGTTTTCTTGTTTCCAGTTCAATGGAGGCCCATAGTAATAGTCTGCATCCCCAAGACTAGCTGTTTTATGTTCGCGTTGATAACGGAGGATGGTTTATGGTTGATGGCTTGGTGGATCCCACAATGACTGTGGACTCTTCGTAGTTTCTGCCTCTGAAATGGCCCCAAGGTACCGGGGGCGGCTACACCACGATTACAACCACCGTTCCTTTTGTGGGCGGGACCGCGCCGGTCATCACGGATCTCGATTGCTGGTTTCCCCCAGTGAATACCGCAAACAACAAATGCCCGACCGGCAACACCGACCCATTCTATTCGTGCAAATTTGACGATTTGGACACACTTCCGTCTCCACGCAATACAGTGTGTGTGGTAGTTCCGGCAGGAGTCGAAATTGTACGGAGCTGTGTGAAGGGAGGAAGCGCACTACCCAAGCAATGCTCGCCGACGTCGTGCTACGCAAACAAGACAGATGTTTTCTGCGAGGACACCGCACCGGGATGCTCAGATGGAACTCAGATATTTTGTGTAGGGCAGAGTGACATGCCTTCAGGGTCCCCAAGCAACATGGGTTTCCAAATTAAGTGTTGCGGCAGCAGCACAAGCACCACAAGCACCACAAGCACCACAACCACCACTACTACCACAACCACCACAACCACCACAACCACCACTACCACCACTACCACCACTACCACCACTACTACCACAACCACAAGTGAATCAGGGCAAGATCCGAGCAGCGGAACAACGACCACAGCTACAACGACAACCACGACCAAAAAAAAGTACCATCGCAGGAACCGCCGCATCCGCCGCATCCGGCGCTATCGCAGCTACAGCCGCTACTCTTGAGTCCTGCTGAAGAGTATATGAGAGCCAGGATCGGCCGGGATAAGCAGATGCCTTGTCCTGAACTTGGCCCTGTATAGTAGATCCTTGTAGTCAGGATTGGATGGCCCCGTGTACTGACGGCGTTGAGCCCATTTGGGGTTACGCCTGCGTGTTTGCGCGAGGTGAAAAACTGTTCAGAACAATTTTTTGATGATTATTTTTTTTTTGAACGAAAAAATCCTGATTTGTGTCCATAATCTATAAATGTGATTTTTTTCAGCCAGTTCATGGGGAAACGCGACGCGCAAACTGTCTCAATAGATATCATGCCTATACCGCAACAAAAATCATCTTTCCACACAAAAAAAAATCCGTCAATAACACATGCCCCGTAGTACATATACAAGACTGTCGGCTGGCTAGCTGACTTGAAGTAGCATGCGCGCTGAAATGTTCCGTTTCTTTGGTTGCTTTACTTGGGGTGATGACCCGGTGCAAGAAACAGCGAACAACCTCCGCTGAGCTTAAAAAAACATATATGCGTTGTGGTTCGATATTGTTTAACACAGCTCATTTTTTGTCAGAATTATGTGTTTATCTTGGTTCGCATTGCTCGGCCTTATGGCTCAGGATGGAGGTCAAAATCGTAATATTTTTTTCTTTCCGATGTGGCCAAGAAAAAACAATATGGATGGCCAAGCTGCAGTGGCAGAAGGCTGATCAAGGTGATATTGATTACTAGTCTCAGGACCAATCATTGGAAACTAGAAGAATAACATTTTTTCTTTGACATCTTGAAAATTTGAAGTCAGATCTGACAAGATGAAAAAAAAATCCGGCGGACAAGTGCAAATCCAAAATAGCAGGTGTGAAATTGGCGTGGTTGAGTAGATTTCAGATTGTGAATTATCTAGTTTCTTTGGTCGGAAGTACGACAGGACCAAAGTTCCAATGAAAATCACAACTTTGGAATTAAAACAAAAACAATTTTTCTTGGAATATTTTCTCGGAGCCAAGCGTTCATCAAAACATAGAAGCCGCGAGGCTTTAAAGCCCAAAACCTCAAGCCCAAGCCAAGGATGGCACTTGCCCGCACCAAACTCCAGCGTTGGATTGTGCAAACTCAATTAAATTATGCGTTTGAACATGTCTGGGTGAATTCTTGCTTCTCATAAAGTGAAATTTTGGAAAAACTATGTGGGTTGCCATGCGGCAGCCCGTAACCCACCGAGCTGTTTGAAATCACTCCGTCCTTGAACTTGGAGGTTTTCTCTTCAATGACTTTTCACGCGCAGAGTGGCGCATAAACAAAATTTATTACACAAGACTGTTCGAAGTTGCTCTATCGCTAGAGTACTGGGCTTGAACATGGACATTAGATGAAAGCACCTGAATTTCAAGACTGATACACGCACACACGCATCACATGCAAATACAAACATATGTAAGTCTATCATGTACACACATACCCGTACCTGCATGCAGTCAAACATTCCTGCGTGTACTTGTTTCGGCTACAGAACTGCTGGGCGAAACATGCGGAGGATGATTTCAACTGTACAATGTACGCGCTCAGCCGGACCAATTTTTGCACATTCAGTCGAAACATGCCTTTGTCATCAATGATTTTCACAAAACTGGTGCCATTTGTGCAGAGCATACTTGAATTGGTATGGTTCGAACACCTGTAGCCAGGATGTAGCCAACCGTTCCTTCATGAGTCTCACGACGTTGACATGTAAATAAGTTCGGGCCATGCGAGGAATTGTCAGTCATTGACTTCTGCAAAAAAAAACTTTAGAATTCAAAGTCGCAATTCTTGAACTTTCAGCCGCGCCAATGCCTCACAACAAAAGGTGTGGCCTTTGCAAGGAAATTGCACATAGTCAATGATCTCAAATTGCATATCCAAAAGGGAACGATGTTTGCGTTTAAGTTCCTTACAATGCTTAGTCACCTACTTCTATTGGATGCGCAATGGGGCCCAAGTGCAAGCTGAAATTCGAGCGAGTATCTACTTGCGGGGATTGGATTTCTGGAGAAAATGCTCAAGGTACAATGCCGCGGCCCTACTAGAATTGGACTTATGATCCGAACCAACTCCTACTTTCCGGCGTTGATGATTCCATTTCTATCATATTTGGCTTTGTCTAAAAATGAGGGATTTACTCAAAATTGCAATGTTAATGGACACTATGAACTCTCAACAAC